TCTTGACACCCTGGCAGATCCAACTTTCCAACAAGATAATGCCCGACCACATGTTGAATGAGTCACAATAGACTTGTTTCAACATAATGATGTCACATTGTTACCATGGCCACCAAGATCTCCCGACTTATCCCCAATTGAGCACGTGTGGGATATGATGGGTAGGAGATTGCTCAATTTGCAACGTCCTCCTCAGACTCTAGAAGCACTTCGAGAGGAGTTGGTGGTTGCCTGGAATGAGATACCACAGGAGGACATTGACCACCAGATCAGAAGCATGCCTAGGCGCGTTGGAGAATGCGTAGCACATCAGGGTGCATCCACACATTATTAAAGGTCAAAGGGCTTTAAAGCAGTGCAATCATTTTGAAATTTTTATCATTTACTTATTATGCTTCATTAAGTACTTATACAAAATAAAACCATTTAAACCGAGTGTTCGGATTTATATGTTACTTAGTATATATTTTACGATGCACCACAACATAAACATATGCGGTAAAGAAACCCCCCCTGCTTATATTTTGAATGGATTCAGTTAGCAGAGTGGTGAAATTGACGCTCGAGTACTATATTTTAACAGTAGAAAAATTCAAGTTGGCGTTTGGTCGCCATTGGTAACATTTTTTTGAATGGAATGAGGGTCGTACCTCATTTTTAAGCTCCTTATGACTAATTTATAACGACAGAGTATAAAGTCGTAATAACGTTTTTGTATATTGGATCGCTTATAACTGAATCTGAATGTTCAATAATATATAAGACAATGAGATTAAAAAGGCGACATATTTTGACAATTTTTTTCCTCAAGAAAAGTTCTACTACTCTATCACGGACTTTGTTAGTTTGTAAGTCTGTAAATTAATTGTGCGTGGCAAGTCCTATTCATGGATTTTCATGTCTTCCTGATAATAAATATTATTATTATAAATATGCCTTATTACCAAGAGAAGAAAATTGGCATGCGTCTTAATGATTTTTTGATGATTGGTTGTTGAGTTATAAGCGATCCAATGTATAAAAACGCTCAACGTTGACAACCTGCTCATTCGCCATTTTAAAACATGAAGATTTTATATCGTTGAGTTGAAATGTACTCATAAAGAGCTGTAAAACAACGTATCACAAGACCCATCTTTTTTGGAATACAACCTACAAGATTCAAAACTAACACACAAAATTCAACGCACACGATATTTAAACGCAAAGTAAGAAAAAAGTACAGATGACACAGTGTTTCTAGGTCCGTGCCTGGAATTTATGTTTTGGATCTAGAGCCCTACTTTTCTGGACTTTCCTGGTATGGTCCATTAGTAAAAGTTCCTCTAAAAATTGCCAAATTTGCTGATTACCTGATACTCTACCGTTCTTAGAGGCCTGCCCCCTCCCCCCTCCAATATATATTCAACTGCTAGCACCATATGGGGTTAGATGGTAGAATAGATATATAATCTAAATCTCGCCTACTGTAAGAATATTACAAATAAAAGACGTTAATTATTATTATTATTATTATTATTATTATATGAGACAGTAGCAAAACAAAAAAGTAAATGTAGAAAGTTACTTTAAAAAGAAGAAATTATTTGGTTCTACTAAGTCATAGATGACGATATAATTTTCACTCCCTATTTGAAATCGGTATCTTCAGACATTGATCAACATATTCCACCCTAAGATACTCAATTAAAATAGGCATTAGAGAGGCGCGAAAAATGAGTGGAGGTCATAACGCCATCTATGAAACGGTAGCAGAACCAGATAGTTTAACTCTTTTCAAAAGTAAATTTTTTGTTCTGCTAGTGACTCATAGACGGCTCTAGGATATTTCGGATTCTATTTTGAACGCCGGAATACAGTATATGGTTGTCCATCTTCAAGTAGAAAACGTTATGGTATAAGATTCTCTAGAAATTGCTTCTATTTTTGGGCAACACTGTAACTTTTGTTTGATAAACTATCTGCATGTCCCTTGTAAGTGTAATTCACTCTGTAAACGCACTCTGATACCGCCGCGAACTATCTGAGGATAAACTTTAATCCAGTAGACTATTTACAAAGTCAAGAAAGTGTAGTGATAAACTCTGACAACAGAATATTTCTGGAATATATGATAATAAATAATAAAATGATTTTTTATGCTGCCGGAACTGAAGAAATGTGTTAATATCACGGTTGCTTCCTGGAATGGTGAGTCTTGGAAACGATGTTTTGTAAATTTTATTATTGCGATTGCTTTTTTGAACTTGAGATAACTTTTGTGTGTTGTCATATGCAAGTACATCGCTATTAGCTTTCTCATCATTTTTGATTCTATTTGGGTACGCAATCTGCTCTGAGGTACCTAAGTAGTAGTAGTGACGGAGTTATCAATAAAAAATAATTAAGGTACCGACTTCATTTTGGTCTTGGTGTTTTTATAGTTCCTGAGCAAATTGAAACTGTTAATGTGTTCATTCTAAAAATTATAAATTTCGATGTTGCCATAAAGGAAAGCTTGTTAAAATTACTTCAAATTTGGATTTCTAAGTTGTACTCCCCATCGTCCTGTCAAGGTCGTTTTAAAATATATAATAAAACTTTAATTCCCATCTAGCTGTTAGTATTTTTTGCATTTTTTTCTAATTCCTATTAGGTATGAAATTTCGGAATATCAGCGGGCAACTTAAGAATGCCGACGTTAATAAAATTTTGAAAAATCGTTTTTATGTGAATCTCCACGTTTTTTCTTCAAATTTCGATTACTAGTTGTGCCCCTGGTCATGAATTAGGCGTCATTAACGGTTCAGCATTTTCAATAACTCATATTTGTTAACGTAATCTGGATAAGCATTTCCAACTAGAATCGGGATTTTTTTCTTTTGGTGCATTTTTATATATTTTCGCGAAAGTTATGAATTTTAGCATTTTTTCAAAATGCATTCCAATGGTGAAATTCCGCATAATAATTTCAATGGTATAGGTTAATGCTTCTGCTGTAATACCTATTTTGATCCCCAGATCAAGGAGCTGTTTTGTTTCTCCCTTACATTTAATTGCCAATGATACGGATTTTGAGCCTTGAAAAATTTGTTTTCTGTTTTTCAATTTGTTTATCGGCGATGCATTTTTAGATAATTAAATTAAAACCCACTGATCTGTGCCAATGTGTAAACACAATTTCTTCAACCATTTTATTATTGTAGTAAAAAAAATTATTGAAATAGAGGCTACTTTTGTTTCCTATATTTTATACACTACTTCGTTGGTCTGTCGAATAGTTTTTGAAATATCCTTAGGCCGTGCCTTCCAAAAGCCTATTTACTTGTTTCTTGAAACCTCATTTATTTTGAGACAGAATCGGACAAGCTTCTAGAATCGTTAAAAATGTGTACTTTTCGTGATTTGAAATCTGATTTATGCAAAATCATAACAAATGCAGTTTGACGAAATTCTAACAATCCTCAATTAGCCGACTATTCATTATCCCAAAAAAATTAGCATAACGATCGTTTCCATTATACTTTCCTCAATGAATATCTCAACCTCATCTACCTGTTCAAAAAATACAACTGTTATTGTGTTTCTAGTCTATTCTTATCATCTGTCAATTATGGCTTATCGAACTTTGCTAATTCTGGAGGTCAGTTTTGTTTGTACAATGTCCTTGCTAGTCATAAGAGGTCAGGATAACCCAACTATGTAAACATCATTAAAAGTAAGGTAACTGGAATAACTAAATTAACTGGCAGACAAGTTAACTGCGTGGTGATTGTATGTATGTTCAATTTCGGTGTGCGAACATCATTATTACAGACCAATGCTACAAAGATTTTTTGAGCCAAATTAAATTCATCAATTTTAGTGATACCGACTCACAGGTTTCCCCTGCGGAGAAACACCCCAAGCACATGGAAATAAATGTTTTCAAAAGATTACCACAGAATCTAAGCAGTTAATTAGGTATATTTAAAAAAATCAAAGGTCTACTACTCCGAAAAGCACACTATTCCCTCAACGAATAACTTAACGATGACAATATATGCTCCTAAATGCACATGGAAGTTAGCCATCAGTTTTATTTCATTTCATCCAGTTTCTATCCATTTTAATTTTTTTATCCCATTTATTATTTATATTGTATTTTTCTCCACATTTTAACCTCTAGCTTTTTAGTTCGTTATATTTTGTTATTTTTTACAATTTATTATGTGTTTTTTACAATATGTGTTTCTTTTTAGTAACATTGTGGTCTGTATGTATCTTTGATGTGGTTATTTTTATTGAATTCTAAGAACTGTTATGTTTCAGTGATGTAATTTTTATTTCCTACTTCACTGATATATATTGCATGTGTTCATTTGAAAATTTCCCACCACGGATTTATTGAAAACCTCTCAATAAAAGAAAAAACACCGAGACATATATATATACCTATATTTTGAGACGTGGTCATTGTCGTCTAGACCAGTTAGGTGAAAAATTAAAGCTTCCGCCTTTTGTTGGGTACTTCGACAAAATTTAAGCAAAGAGGACTCTTTATACTTTTTTAATTCTCTCTAGCTTTCAATGGACTTTGCCATCATCATCAGGAGCTGCAATTACATTGATAACAGTAACAACAATAGTGTAAAATGAATTTAAATTGACTTAACTTACAGTAGTATGTGAGGATGTTGCTAATTGTTGTTTACGTTCAGGATGAGGGAAACGCCCACACAAATGAGTGACAAGAACAAATGTGTGACAAGAACAAGTGTGTATTTTATATAATTTTGACCATTGTACCATCTATCCAGCTTTCACCATGTTACTGGGCGTTTCCCTCATCCTGAACGTAAACAACAATTAGCAACATCCTCACATACTACTGTAAGTTAAGTCAATTTAAATTCATTTTACACTATTGTTGCTACTGTTATCAATGTAATTGCAGCTCCTGATGATGATGGCAAAGTCCATTGAAAGCTAGAGAGTATATACATATATATATATATATATATATATATCTATTATTACAGCGGCTACAATCGTAGCGTACGAAGAAAGTCAGTGCTCAGCCCTGTAACCCCAGTCAAAATGCAGAAAGGGCCAGGGGAAGATATTGAAGCAGCGAACCATTCGCCTGCAAACTCCATTACCTCTGTCAATTCCTTAGCTAGTCTACTTAGAGAAAAGATTCAGGTAAGTATCGTCTCAAGAGAGTTTTATATTTTAATATTTTTTTTGACGATATTGTTATTGTCGATTTCCTAGCAAATGCATGGGGTGTTGTAAGCAAGGAAAATATATTGGTTTTATCATTTTTTTGAATCTGCTTGATATTTGGGATGCATGAGAACTGCTTTGGATTGGCAGGGAATCATCGTAACCTATACGACTAACGGAATAACAGTTATTCCTTATCAAACGACAAATATAACATATTTAGATTAATATAACTATAATGAGAAATCTCAAAAATCGAGATGAAGTTGCAATTATTTTTTTCGGTTTTTCTTGCGTAAGGAAGCGGCATCGACGTTTGGGAAATTTTGAATATCGGATTATTTTGCGAAATATAGAAGAAGGTTCCTCAACTATCTTGATATATCATTTTCATTTGGAAAAGAATTTTGAAAACACACACAAACTCATTTACAATGCCATTTCACTTGCCTAAGATAGATAGATAGAATATACGGTGCTTTTCAAAAAACCCCCTAACTCTTATTTGAATGAGTTGAGATAGCATTCTAAAATTCAGTGCGGTGATTTCCCAATTGTAACGTGAAAATAAAAGAAATGTCAAGATGGCGGCTGCGCCCCACCTTGAGATATTTTTTTCAAATAGGCGGGGGGGGAGGGGTCGTGTGATATCTTATTTTAGAGCCCCTTAGAGGCAGTTTACAACTCTAAAATCTTTTTTTACTTTCCAAAATGACGAACTGGTGCAGTGTCAAGCACTGTTGTACACTGAAACGTTATTGACCATTATATCAATATTCATGTTTTATAGGGAAAATATGGGTCACTCAGTTTAAAACAACTTGATACATTTTGTCAATTTTTTTTATGAAAATTTCCATTTTATTATCACACATTCAGATAATTCCTGCAGAGAGAAGATTGAACACACTATAGGGTTTTGATATTTGGTTTTTGAGTTATAAGGATACAACAGCGCTGAAATTTTATAGTTTGCCATTTTGAAACACTGACTTTATATTCCAGGCTTACAAAATATTCATAAGGATGTTCAAAATGAGGTATCACGTGGCCCCTCAAACATCCAATGTGGCGTCCACTGGCTATTCATTTATATTATAATTTCAGTTTGCTAACTTGGCCCTTTCGAAAAACGAGCAGTGGCTTTGCGAAAAGCACTGTATTAAGATATTTTCGCCCCAATCACACTGTTGTATAATAATTATTCTATGTGTTGAAAATACTAAAAAATTGCGGAAGTCACGTAAACTGGTGAGTGAAGCAACTTGACAGTATTTCATCTAGCTTTAAAATAAAGTCAATGGATCTTTGCTCTAGCCAAATGGTAAAATGATACATGGAGGAAGCTTTCAATTGGATAATTTGTGTCTTGTAGACAACCGGGCCAAATTATGTGATATCCACTTTCTTTTTAAACAATTATAGTAAGTACAGTTTAAACAATGACTCATAGTCTGGGCATCTGATTCCATTTTTCAGCCGTTCTTGTCTCAACGCGGGAACTACAGGAAGAACATATCAATTCACAAATTCTGATAATCAAAAAATATTGAATTAGCAAACTATGATATTCAATATTAAAACTGTATTAACATCAGTTTCAAACAACAAACAAAAATTCTGTCGTCCAAATAAATAGCAACTACAACAGCTACTAGCTTTGTTTTTCAAATATTTTTATAAGCTTTTATTTAACTTGATTAATTGTTAGTATGTACTCGTATGGGTCAAATCTGAATTTTAAACCAGTTAACTTTAACCAATTGAGCTGAAATTTTGTACATACATAGGGTTTGTGTGACAATACAAAATGAATTAACTACCGCCATTTTGAATTCAATATAGCGGATGTTACAAAATGGCGATCCATCGTTTCCATAGTAACTCCTATATGGCTATCAAATGAAAAGGCTTGCTGAAGAAACACAATAAACAAAGCGATGTCGTTCTACATCCAATATGGCAGCCTCCGCGATTTACAATTTTCACTGGTATCACTATATGAATATCAGATGGAAGGGTTTAATGAGAGAAACATAATAAGCATAGTGGTGTCATTCTTAATTCAATATGGCGGCGGCAGCAAAATGGTGGTTCACATATATTTCATAATCGTTCCGACGATATGGGTATCAACTGAAATTGCTTGATGAGAGAAACACACTAAGCAAAGTAGCGTCACTCTAAATCCAATATGGTGACCGCCGCTAAATGGCGATTTATAATTTCCATGGTCGCCGCTATGACATGGGTATCAAATTAAAGGCCTCAATGAGAGTCATACAAACGCGAAAATAACGTCATTCTGAATTCCGTATGGCGATCGCCGCAAAATATGGATTTATTTTGATGGTTTATGTATATCGAAATGTTAAAATACAAATAAAGAAGCCTATTAATAAAGTATATGAGAATTATACAGGGTGACTTCGAAGTTGAGTCATTTATTTTAACAGTGAGTAGATCTGATCAAAAGAAATGTTTTTTTTTCCTTTACCATTTTTCTGGTAAAATTAAAGTAACAAAGTTATAGCCCTTTGGAAGTTTGAGTACCGCCCTGTCTCAATAATAATATTATGTGCTCGTGTTTGGCAACAACGGATATAATCCGCCTTATCGGTTCATCGCATCGGAAACAAAAAAGCGAAAGAATTTGGAACGATGTTTTTACAATTATTTTATTCAGTTGTATACAGTCAGTGACAGTCGGTAACGCGTGAGTGAATAGTGGTGTCTGTTACGTGGCTCAAACGAAATCAAAAATGGCACATGTTTACGAAAATGCTGCACTTGTGGACATGATTCTTATTTACGCGGCATCACGGATTTAGGCGGATCGGTTTCCCAATCGAGTGCAACCAACCCCTCGTGCCTTTGTTAATGTAGTACAAAGGGCTCGTGAATCAGGTGACTTAAGACCTCACAGGGGAGGGCATGCCGATGCTCCAAGACCGCACGATCAAATACAGGTCCGCACTGAAATACTTGTCGGGAGGATACTTTATAAAACAAGGTAACATTTTTTTTTATTTTTTTTTATTTTTACACACATATTTTGGTTTATCTTCCTTCTACAATCATTATCTTAAAATTAATGACTCAACTTCAAAGTCACCCTGTATAGAAATTACCAGATTAGTAATCAAATGATAAATACAAAGAAGTAAAAAATAAATGAAACAAGGAATGCATTTTTTTTTTCTATAAATCGAACTAACTTTTTCCGAATGGAAATATTTAAACGATATTGAAGTTTCTTCATCTCAAGTTTTCAAATGGATGGAAAAAAGTTTAACACGCTTTGCTTTGAAAACTTGAGATGAAGCAGCTCCATTAGCGTTTATATATTTCCAATCGGAAAAAAACTTTTTAAATAGTTAGTCCGTTTTATTAACAGCTTAAAATGTTTTTTTTATTACTCAAATATGTTGTAAGAGTACTGGGAATCATACTTGCCAAGCATGCGCTTGCATTGCATTGCCTCTTGGGTTAAATCCACAGAAAATACACAAGTTTAAAACGATTTTTATCCATAGGATCCTTCTGTTCTACAAGACTATGGCACTATATCTAAGGTACGCCATCAAGGATTTAGGTTCATAATATATACTAAGTGACATATAAATCCGAACACCCAGTTTAAATGGTTTTATTTTAATCAAAGTTGGTCAATGTATTTATCTTACTGTAAATAACAAGTGAAAAAATTTTCAGCCTTATCAGTTGGACATTCCGGTTTTTATACTGCTTTTTTTTAATTCACTAACGCTCTAAAAATCAATATTTCAGCCGCAGTAAAGAATCAACGTTGGCGGATTTTGGTTCTTGACATCCTTTACGATCGGTTACGATGCCTAGAGTACGGAGACCTGTACGATTTCGTCAACTTAGTGAGTTTGATAGGGGCCGTATAGTGGGACTTCGGGAAGCTGGACTTTCTTTTCGGGCAATTGCAGTTAGAGTGCAAAGAAGTGTAGACACTGTGGTTAGGTGTTGTTAGGCATGGCTTCGAGAAGGCCGTTACGCAAAGAGCAAGGGGCAATGGACGCCGCCGTAGAACAACAGACCGTGAAGATCGCCGCCTAAGATTATTGGCCTTAAGGGACCGTTTCTCCACTACCAGGTCCATTGCAAATGAATGGTTTGCAGAACACGGAAGACCTATTGGCATGTGACGTGTTTACCGACGAATGAGAAGTTTTGGCTTGTTTTCATACCGGCCACACTGGGTCCTCCCTTTAACTCGAGAACACCGACGTAATCGCCTTGAGTGGTGCAGACAACGGTCACTCTGGGATCAGGAATGGAACAGTATTGTCTTTAGTGACGAGTCTCGATTTTGTTTAGGCATGCACGATGGTCGTGCCAGGGTTAGAAGGCGACGTGGTGAAAGGAGGAATCCACACTTTTTTGTTGAAAGACATGTTCATCACACTGTTGGAGTTATGGTTTGGGGTGCTATAGCTTATGGTTCCAGGTCAACTTTAATCCTCATCAAAGGTAACATGAACGCGCAGCGTTATATCCACGAAGTTCTAGAGCCCCATCTTTTACCCTATCTTGACACCCTGGCAGATCCAACTTTCCAACAAGATAATGCCCGACCACATGTTGCAAGAGTCACAATAGACTTCTTTCAACATAATGATATCACATTGTTACCATGGCCACCAAGATCTCCCGACTTATCCCCAATTGAGCACGTGTGGGATATGATGGGTAGGAGATTGCTCAATCATTTACTTATTATGCTTCATTAAAATTTTATTAAAATAAAACCATTTGAACTGGGTGTTCGGATTTATATGTCACTTAGTATAGTCTCCCATTTTAACTTATTTTATTGTACGGACCAAATTAGGCAATTGTGGTGATGAAATTGATGCATGAGTACTATATTTTAGCATAAAAGTAACAATTGAAAACTTCCAGATGGCGGCTGGGCGACTTGGTTCCTTCAGCTATGCATTTCGCTT